TTCATTGTATAATTTATATATTTCAAATATATATATATATTGATTTTAAATATAATTTATGTATTCAAAAATAGTATATATATATATATATAATATAAATTTTAATTATATATAATAAACATGTCTATATATTATATAAACTAAAATATTAGTATATTAAATTTTGCATCATTTATATAAGAGATGATATGAAAATAGTTTGAAAAGTTATTTGATATATCAAAATTATAACATTTTTCTATTGTCAAATGTAACGCAGTTGGTAGACTGGAACGGGGCGTTCCAAAATTGGAACGGGTCATTCCAAACTATTAAAACAAGGGTGATTTAGTAGTCCAGAATTGGCCGTTCCCAAATTGGAACAGGTCGTTCTAGACTGCTAAATAGGCCTGTAAATCCTAGTTGAGAACGGACCGTTCCAGACATGGTTGTTGTGAGTTAAATTCAACTCTAGAACAGGCCGTTCTAGTTTAAGAACGAGTCGTTCTAGATGTGCCAGAACGGGCCGTTCTGGTTTCAGAACCGTTTTGCATGTGAATTTTACACATGACGAAGGAGCCTAGAACGGGTCGTTCCAGATTCGAAACGAGCCATTTTGGTCACTCTTGACCTCTATAAATAGGCGTTGAGGAGTGGGAGAAAAGGGAATTTAGAGAGAGGTTTTAGAGAGAAGTTTTAGAGAGAGAAGGACTCTGGGCCAAGAAGCTTGCTTTTGAAAGATTGAGGTTCCCGAGTTGAGCTTCGGAAGGAAATTCTGCTTCTTCTCAGCTCTTGGCAATGTTGAGCCAATCTTCAGGTTAGGGAAGTTTCGTGCATTGTTTTCCTTAAAAATGGTTAAGTTGTTGAGTGCGGATTGAGTTAAAAAGTTGGGTTTTATTGTTTGAAAGAAAGGAGATGATTTATTTAAATTAGTGGTTGCATGTAGTTCTTCTTGTGTTTTAGAAGTTGTTTATAACGTGGTTAAGTTGCTAAGTTGCCTGATGAAGATGAGTTGAGTAGTTGTTGGCTTAAGTTGTTCATATGTTGTGTGTTGATAATATGTGATATGTTGTTAAAGTTGCTATACGTTGTGTATTGATGAAACTAAGTTGTTTTTATGTTGTTTATTGTTGAATTATTAATAAGTTGAGATGTATAAGTTGAAGTAGTTTATTGTTGTAAAAGTTGTTTAAAGTTGTTAAGTTGCATTAAGTTGATTTTAAGTATCAAGATGACTATTGTTGTCAAGTTTAATGAAGGGTGGCTATAGTTGTTAAGTCGTAAAGATATTGTGATGACTATAGTTGCTCAAGTTGTTGTAAAGTTGTATTAGTTGTCTATTGTTGTAAAGTTGTATAAGTTGTCTATTGTTGTATAAGCTTCCTATTGGTGTAAAGTTGTATAAGTTGTTTATTGTTGTATAAGTTGCCTATTGTTTGTATAAGTTGTCTATTGTTGTAAAGTTGTAAAAGTTGTCTATTGTTGTAAAGTTGTAAAAGTTGTCTATTGTTGTAAAGTTGCCTATTGTTGTAAAGTTGAAAGTTGGGGACATATGGAGAAGATATATGTCTTATGTTGAGATACATAGTACTAAGGTGATAAGTTGAAAGTTATTTTAAAGTTGAATCCCTTAGTACTGTGTGGGCGACATGAAAATAGTCGATCCATGTCATGGTTGAATGACCAAATTGAGTAAGGTATCTAGTTAGATATGTAGTCTTTGACTAGGTACTAGAGGGTGCGTGGTACTTGGAGGGCAGTGGGTGGACTAACCCCATATGTGGATTGGTTATGTAGACCAAGGTCGTGGTAAGTTCACACCTAAACCCTTCTGTCCTGACAGTAGTACTGGACCTCCGAGTCTAAGTGGCACACCTGAGCAATCGCCTATTGTTTTCTATACCTGGTTCTCTTCGGAGTTCCTAACGATGTCCTATACCTGACCTGGTTGAGATAGGTCAAACGCTGGATTCGGTAGGGTTTATGCCACCTAGATTGCTCAACCTCAGTTGTTGGAGATCTCCTAGTTGTATATGTGTGACGACACATTAGTTGATGTTGCATGGGTTGTTGCATTCAAGTTGTATATAATGTTGTATGAATGAGTTGATAGTTGAGCTATTGTGATAAATACTGTGATTGTGTTGTGATGAGTTGTTGATCACTAGGACTAGAAGAGAAGTTTTCAAAGTTGTTCATCCCATTGTGCGGATTGAGATAGTTGTGGTGCTCTGAGAGCCCAATTTGTTTAAAAAACCTTCCTTGGAAAGTTGTCCCTTGGAGTGGATGATGTGTTGTTCTCCTCTAGGACTTGGTTGGTCCCGTGTGTGGGCAAGGTTGAGGCACACATGTATGAAGCGACCACAGTATAGGGGCCAGGTCGACCTATACCGATTACAAGCGGCCAATTTGAATAAAGTGTGATGTGTTGAAAACGTTGTTGCTAGTAGATGATATTGTATATCTATTATTGTAGATGTTGTGTTGCTTTAAGTTGCAAGTTGAAAGTAGAATTCTATTGTTGTTTATTATATGTTGATGCTATTTTTTTTTATGATTATTGTTGTGAGCTTACCCTAGCATGTTTTCCCTTGTGGTTGGGACTACGATAACCATACCTTGGTATGCGAGCAAATCAGGATTAGGTGCTCTGCTGGACTAGGTGAGCTTCTTTTTGGTTGGGACTCAGGAGGAGGGCTGACATTGTATTTAGTTGATTAGTAGCATTTGACTACCTAGTTGTTGTATAGGGTGTTATTCCCTACTTTCAGTTATATATATTATGAGACTTTTTAGTTGTGTATTCTCATTATAATATAATTATTTAGTGGTGAGATTTTATTTTATACTTGTATCTGGGCGCTATAGACAGCCTGGCGGGTCGTTACATCAAATACTAGAATTTTAGTATAGTTTCCGTGTTCTATTTCCTGAAACTCTAGATGATGATGCCTTATATAAAAGTTTAGTCACATATTTAGTCGGTTATACAAATAAAAAAGAGAAGTAATAAATAAATTTTCATTTTGTTAATAATTGAGAATTTATTTAGATACAAGTTTAGAAATGTTGTTCATTACAATTTTTTTATTAAAATATATTATTTACTTTTATTAAAAAAAATCTTAAAAATACTTATAACTTGTATTCAAATAAGTTTTAATGTTTTTTTGTAAAAAAAATTCTTAGTAAAATGATTTTGAAACTATTGAAGAAAGTTTGTTTTAAAAGATAAGATTTGAAAACGAAAAACCCAATATCCCCTGAACGAGTGAATAATTCGATTTGATATATCAAAATAGGGGTTGGGAGAGGAAAACAGTGTGATAACAGTGGAGGAATTAGATCAGATCCTGTGTGACAGGATGTATAATATGCTAACAGGATTGGATGCATCTAATGGTAAATAAAAGTGGGTCCTATCTCAACTTTGATCAAAACGAGTTGTGCGTAACAGAAGAAGCCTCCATCCCATGCACCATCTTCACAAAAGTCCCGGGTGCAGCACTTACCCCCTACACCATCTTCACTAACCGAGGTGCATGAGATGATCCACCCATCCTTTGCGCCATCCATACAAAATTTTCCTGCGCTTTCTATTCCACTTGTCACGTGACCAAAATAACCTATATTGATAATTTATTTTTTGTATTTTTTTTTAATTTACTTTCGTCAAAAAACCTTAGGTAACACATTAAGAAGATGAATTTCTACTTTGCTTCATAGATAAAACAAATTATGAAGTAACATAAAATAAAGACATGACAACAAAAGAAAAAAAAATCTGAAAAGGATGATTTGTATCACTGGCTCCCTCTGAAAATAATAACATTTATATATAAAGACATGAAAACAAAGTATGTAAGATAAAAATATGAAAAACAAATGGCCCATGCAGGTCTCGAACCTGCGACCTTCGCGTTATTAGCACGACGCTCTAACCAACTGAGCTAATAGGCCACATGCTAATGCATTTCAAATAAAGCTAAAGGAAAAAACCAAATTAAATGTTTTGCTTCTCAAACACAATTATTGCTGCACCATATATTGGCAATTGAACTAAATGCATAACTCATTTAAATTCACACAGTTGTTAAAAAAAGAAGATAATATATCTATCTATTAGGGTTTAGGATTTATTTCTAGTATTGATTCAAATTCAATAAGGATAAATCTGAATCTGAAACATTATCCATAAAATTTAATAAGGACAAGTATGAGTATAGATACACATATAATTAACATATTTTAATTAAATAATTATTATATATATAATGTATAATATTATTAATTAGAAATAATTTAATTGGTTATCTTTAAATAAAAGCATTACTTAAAATGATGGAGTTAGTAATTCAACTTTAATTGAAGTTATATTTATCCAGGTTATTTTATAAAGAAAAGTTGCTGAAACTTTCTACTAGTTAGTAGTTACTGTAGTAGAGAAAATGACCAGACCAAACCAAATCAAACACCTCCTTACATTTCTTTCAATCAGAAATTTGAAGTTAAACACTGATTCTCGCGTGTAACTAGTAGTTCATTAACCTAATATGGTACTGATCATAACGTAATGATAACGTTGTGCTTGAACCTTTCCATTTCCATGTCCATTTGTTAAATGGCAATGGAGTTGGCATGGAAAACAAGAATAACATCATCATAGGAAGGTGAAAAATATGTCATTTTCTTCACAATTGCGTTGGTCACCACACGAATTTGCTTTGTGCCTACAAAAATGTCTGAAAGCAAGGGCCTTGAGACCCGGCATGCAGGTCCATGCCACGCTACTCACTAGTGGAATAAACATGAACATCTTTTCTCTTAATTCAAAGCTTGTTGGAATGTATGCTAGTTGTGCTGACATTAAATCAGCAAGGCTTTTGATTCAAAATATTCAACACCCCAATGTTTTTGCATTTAATTGGATGGTTTTGAGGTTGGCATATGATGGTTACTTTGATGATGCATTGTTGTACTTTCGTTGGATGCGTGAGGTTGGGCACATGGGCAACAATTTCACTTTTTCCATTGTTCTCAAGGCGTGTGTTGGCTTGATGGACGTGAAAATGGGGAGGCAGGTTCATGCCATTGTTTGTGAAATGGGTTTTCAAAATGATGTCTCCATTGCCAATGCTCTTATAGATATGTATGGTAAATGTGGGGGCATGTCTTATGCTCGTCGGGTGTTTGATGGAATGCGTGAGAGAGATGTTGCCTCGTGGACTTCGATGATTTGTGGGTTTTGTAACGTGGGGGAGATTGAGCAGGCGCTGGTGTTGTTTGAGAGGATGAAGTTGGAAGGGTTGGAGCCGAATGATTTCACATGGAATGTGATTCTTGCTGCTTATGCTCGTTCAAGTGATAGCAGCAAAGCTTTTGCTTTCTTTGAGAGGATGAAAAGGGAAGGTTTTACTCTTGATGTGGTTTCATGGAATGCGTTGATTTCTGGATTTGTACAAAATCATCAAGTCAGGGAAGCGTTTGAAATATTTCAGGAGATGATGCTTTCAGGGATTCAGCCCAATCAAGTGACTGTTGTGGCACTGCTTCCTGCATGTGGATCAGCAGGTTATATCAAATGGGGAAGAGAAATTCATGGATTTATATACCGGAAGGGGTTTGATGCGAATGTTTACATTGCTAGTGCTCTTATTGACATGTATTCGAAGTGTGGGAGTGTGAAAGATGCTCAGAATGTTTTTGACAAGATCCCATGTAAGAATGTTGCATCATGGAACGCAATGATTGATTGCTATGGTAAGTGTGGCATGGTTGATTCCTCCTTGGCACTGTTTAAAAAAATGAAGGAAGAAGGACTGCAGCCGAATGAAGTTACTTTTACATGTATTCTTTCAGCATGCAGCCATAGTGGTTCAGTGCAGGAAGGTTTAGAGATTTTCTCTTCAATGAAAGAGTGTTATGGGATTGAGGTAAGCATGCAGCATTATGCTGGTGTTGTTGATCTCTTGTGCCGTTCAGGAAGGGCGGTTGAAGCATATAAATTTTTCAAAGCCTTGCCAATACAAGTCACAGAGTCAATGGTTGGAGCTTTTCTAAATGGGTGCAAAGTCCATGGAAGAAGAGATCTAGCTAAAATGATGGAAGAGGAAATAATGAGAATTAAGTTAAAAGAACCTGCTAGCTTTGTTGCATTATCAAATATTTATGCTGCTGATGGTGACTGGGAAGAGGTTGGGAATGTAAGGAATGTGATGAAAGAAAGAAATGTCCACAAGCAGCCTGGTTTTAGTTGGCTTGAAAAGCAATGCAAGATTCCTGAAGGGGAGAAAGAGGAAGAAGGGGACAAAATGGCCAGTGGATTGGATACGGGACATTATATAGTATGATTGGCGATCCTGTCATTCACATTTAGTTGTAAATACATCTATAAGACTGGCTTTAGTTTGGAATTTATGTCTCCACTCATTTTGGCTCATCTACGAATTCTTAACTAATTTTTTGATACAAGAGTAACTCAATTTTCAAGGTATTTTTTTGTCTGTTTGTTTATGTACTGCCTAAATCTAGAATCTAGATGGATTTTATTTATCCCTTGCTTACGATGAGGGCAAGTTACCCTTCTTCAAAAGCATAGGATTTGTTGGAGAAATAACAAAAGGTAGCTCTTTGGTGATTCAGTGCTTCTAAGAGGTGAACAGATACACCTATCCTGTTTCTGTAATTGTTGCATTCAATGTAGCAGCCTGCAGTTTTGCAGGGACCAAAGCTAACCATCACCACGCACTCTAGAAGTTGATGTTTGGGACAATGATGCTACTTGATGATGAAATAACACAAGGGCATAAACTAGAGTCAAGTTTGGTTAGGAAGGCACAAAACTTTGTAAACCAACTCGATAATGTGGCTTTCAGAACAAGTTAGAGTCCCGAGGAGAATGAACATGCTGATCATAGTTTTAAGAATTGCAGGGTGATTAAACCGGTTAGGATATTAAATTAGTAAGGTGAAATTAATGGGTCATCGTATGACTCAGGTTCTATTAAATTTTTAAAAAAATATTCATGTTGATTATACTTATAAATTTCAATAAATTTAATTGTATCTTAAATTTCAATTTGCATCTTATTTAAAATAATCTTTATTTTTATTTTGTATAAAGAAATACATGAAAATATTGCATGTTAAATTATATATTAATACAAATTAAAAATATAAATAATATGTATATATATATATATATATTATTAAATATATAATTTAAAATTAATAATATACTATAAAAGTTATTTAAGTTACATATAATAGAAACAAATACATTAGAATTAGTGGTCATTGTAATGTTTGAAAAGATTCTTCACCCTTTCATGAGCAGGTTTTGATTTCCATATGTTGTGTTTTCCTTTTGAATTTCATTTTAAAAGTGATGAAAAACATATTTGTAGTTGAACCGGTTTGATCCTTCGCTTTACTAGTTGAACCAAAAAATTAACCAGTTTGCTTCGATTTGTAATGAGTCAAATGTATAATCAATTCAACTCAAGACTCAAACTGGCTAGACCACCGATTTCTAGATCAATTGGTGTGACGGGTCAATCCAAGCCAATTTTTAAAACACTCATACTAATTGTCTAAATTTGTATTGTTGAGACTTTTCTTGTTATTGGCTACTGACTAGCAATATGGTACTAGTAGTTTGAAAACTCTAATAAATCTCTGTGTATCTTGTAGTCTAGAGACAAAAGATAAATTTACTAGCTTCAACTATTTAAGAATATATTTCATATGATATTAAAAAAGAAAAGAATATATTTGATATAATTTTAAATAGATAAAGAATAAATACATAACATAGATGAGGACAAGTAGCATACAATTTTAAACTATTCAACTTGCTTTCTATATAGCTAGGATTTTATTTTTTATTTATTTTTTAATTAGTAGTAGTTACAATCACAACAACAGAATTCGATCCTAAGACTTTTTACATTCTCACTACTAGATTAATTTTAGTGATTTTTTTAGCTCGAGTAAATTGCAGTTTTTTATATCCCATCCTTTATAATTTCAAGAATTTTATCACTCTGTTATTTTATTTACATATTTTTATCATTTTACATTTAAAATTTTATACATTTTATCAACCAAATTTGTTTTTATAAGTTTCTCATATTTTATCGCCTAATTATACTTTTACACATTTTATTTTCTAACGTTTATATGTACATTTTATCTCTCTACTTTTATTTGTAAATTGAATTACAATATATTTTTCAAAAAAACAATTATTAAAAGCAATTATTTATCACTTTATAAATTGTTTATCATAAATTTAAAATATAATGTTACATTTACAAATATTTATTATTAGGTTTAGTTATATAAAATATACATTTAACTATGTATTAAAAATACTAAAATACAAATAAATAAATAAATCATTTATATGGCACGCACACACGCAAAATTAAAATAACCATAAAATTAAGTTAATCCTCATTTTGATTCGAAGCATAATTTTATTTTGTAATTAAATATTTTTATATAAATTAAAACAATTATCTTAAAAAGTATTTTTACTTTTGAAAACAATTCTTTGATGAAAATATTTTTAATTAATTTTTGAGATTTTTCTTAACCTCTTATTTTTTATTTATCAAATATATTTTTATTTTTAAATTAAACTCTACATGGTTTAAAAAAATTATCAATGATTAAAAATAAACTTGTATCATAATATAATTTAGACTTAATTGTATTTTTTATTCCTCTATAATTACAGTTGTGCAATTTTGGTCTTTAAGATTCTAATAGAGCAATTTTAGTTTTTCAAATATCATAATTATGTGATTTTGATTGTAACGACCCGGCTGGTCACTACACACGGCACAACACACTAGAAACACCACACAAAAAGGAACAAGTGTATACATATAGGGTCTAGAATATATACATATACATGATCCAAATCTGAATAGGGTTAAAATGTACAAACTACAATCAAATGCTACTACCCTAAGTAGCTCAACCAACAAAACAATGAAAAAGAGATCAACTCCGCCTGTCCGCTGAAGACTTACCACTAGTCACCAACCTATCCCTGCTCTCCTCCCATACATAGTATGATCATCGCAGTCCAAACATCATGGAGACAACAAAAGGGTAAGCTAGTGAAAAGAAATCATACATATAACAATATAACAATAAACAGCTACAACTTATACAATATCACAGCATTTAACAATATCAGCACCACAAAACGACATTATTAGCACTGCGTAGCAGCAATAACAGCACCACTCATGTGACTATAACAGCACCGCATAACGGCATTAACAGCACCGCCTTAGCGGCTATAACAACACCACAATAGTGGCTAATAACAGCATACAACTCAGCACAACACAACCAATCCACTTACAGCACGGCACAACAATTCATCATACAGCACAGCAATATATATATACATATAATACAGTTAATCAATATTTCTCAGCACTATCAGCTAGTCAGCACAGCATATTCATCAAGTACAACTTAGTTTAGCATATAACAACATTAATTAACAACCTCAGCAAAATTCAACAACTAACAGCATATGTATCAATATCTTCATAAGCGCCCGGCGCACTCGAGGTCGCGCCCAGCGCGACTCTACCCGAGAGAGCACCAGGGCCAGCGCGCCCAGCGCAAGAATACTCGCGCCCGACGTGGCCCCTCACGCGCTTGGCACAATTTAGAATTGCGCCCAGCGCTTGCCAGGCAGAGACTCCATGGAGTCTCACGCGCCCAGCGTGCCTAACCATGCGCCTAGCGCGGGGAAGGTAGAGACCTCCCCTTGGTCTCGCGCCCAACGCAATTTGAATTGTGCCCAGCGCCCTCCTGGCAGAGACTCCCAAGGAGTCTCGCGCCCAGCGCAACAAGGGTCGTGCTCAACGCAGAATCACTACCCAAAAACAGGTCACATACTGCCTGCGCGCTCGGCGCGATTCCGGACCCGCCCGGCGTGGGCCATCCAGAGGCTAACCTTCTCAAGCTCGCCTGGCGCACACATTTTTGCGCCCGGCGGGCTTGTCAAAAAGGAGCCCCCAGATGGTCTCGCGTCCGGCGCGAAGAACCGCGCTCAGCGCGAGGCTCAACAGCAACACTCCATTTTCGAAAAACTTAACCAAATCCTGTGAAAACAACCAGAAAACCAACATGCAAACCATTCAAAAGTTCCCTCTTTCATCAAATATCAATAAAAATAGCTCATTTTCAACATGCAAACACAAATGATCAAAAACCCCAAAATTCCTTCAAAATTTCTGAAAACCCCAAAAATTCAATTCTCATCCATCTCAGCTAGAGATCATCCATCAATAAGCAACATATGAGTATCTAAGACTCATTCCAAATCAAAAACAGCAAAATAACTAGCTTCCCTTTCCTCGGTAGAAGATTCTGAGCTCCGGGATGAAGAAAATGGAGAAGGAGACTAAGAAGAGTTTAATCGAACACCGAAGGAGAGGAAAGAACTCCGAACACCCAGCTAGCAAAACCTCAAGTCACTCCGCACCACCACCTTGTATCAGCCAAGAAGAAAAGTCCCAAGCAAAGAGTGAGCAAAGATAAATGAGAGTTAGAGAGTAAGAGAGTTGGGGGGAAGAAAAGGAAATCCGTACGGGGGGTCTCACAACCTCCCCAACAACAAGAGTTTTCGTCCCCGAAAACAGACTTACTTGGGAAAAGAAACGGGTAACGCTCCCTGCACTGCTGCTCCACTTCCCAAGTAGCCTCACCAGTAGCTGCATCCCACAACACCTTCACCAGGGCAATTGACTTGCCCCTCAGCTCCTTCAGCTTATGATCGACCACAGCTACTGGCAACTTCTCAAAAGTCAGGTTCTGCTTTACTTGCACATCATCCAGCTCCACCACATGACTCGGGTCATGCACATACTTTCTCAGCTGGGATACATGAACACATTGTGTAGGTTTGAAAGAGACGGTGGCAAATCCAACCGATAAGCAACCGGACCTACACGCTGTATGATCTGATAGGGACCCACAAACCTTGGTGTCAACTTTCTTTCCCTCAGCGCTCTTCCCACACTAGAGATCGGAGTCACCTTCAGAAACACATGCTCCCCTTCGGAAAACTCCAAAGGCTTACGCCTCTTGTCAGCATAAGATTTCTATCTACTCTGAGCAGTCTTCATCTTCTCTTGAATCATCTTCACCTTCTCAGTAGTCTGTAGGATCAGCTCCGGTCCCACAACCACTGACTCACCATCCTGATACCAGCACAAAGGAGTCCTACATCTTCTGCCATACAAGGCTTCATACGGCGCCATCCCAATGCTAGCATGAAAGCTGTTGTTATAAGTAAACTCCACCAGCGGTAGGACCTCCTCCTAGCTACCCAAGTGGTCTAACACACAAGCCCTCAGCAGATCCTCCAAGGACTGGATTGTCCTCTCTGATTAACCATCTGTCTGCAGATGATAAGCAGAACTCAGCTTCAGCTTCGTGCCTAGGGCTTGATGTAGACTCTGCCAAAATCTGGAAGTGAACCTCGGATCCCGGTCGGAAATAATACTGGTAGGCACCCCGTGCAATCGTACTATCTCCCTCACGTACAACTGCGTCAGCTTCTCCAAGGACCACTCGATGTTGACAGGCAAGAAATGCGCACACTTGGTCAGCCGATCAACAATCACCCAGATAGCATCACTATTCCTAGATGACCTAGGTAGCCCCACAATGAAGTCCATCGTAATGCTATCCCACTTCCACTCGGGAATCTCAATCTGCTGCATCAACCCACTCGACTTCTGATGCTCAACCTTCGCCTTTTGACAGGTCAGACAGGCCGCACATATTCAGCTATCTCCTTTTTCATACCAGACCACCAGAAAGTCTTCTTGAGGTCTTGGTACATCTTAGTCATACTTGGATGTATGCTAAGTCTACTCTTGTGGCCTTCTTCCAACACAGCTCTCTTCAGCTCAGCATCCTGAGGTAGGCAAATTCTGCCCTTAAACCTCAAGATTCCATCTTGTCCCAGCTCAAAGCCAACAACCTTCTCGGTACCTAGCAAACCAAGAAGCTTCACCAGCTCGGCGTCTTGCAACTACTTAAGTCCAACCTGCTTCAAAAACTCATTAGTTATGGAAATCATCCCACAACTAATGTGATCCTGAGCTAACTCCACATAGAGATTCAAATCTCTGAACTCCTCAACCAGCTCCAGCTCCCTCATCATCATACTCGACATGTGGATGGATTTCCTACTCAGCGCATATGCCACCACATTGGCCTTGCCCGGATGATACATCAACTAGAAGTCATAATCCTTCAGAAACTCCATCCACTGTCTCTCCTCATGTTCAGCTCCTTCTGATCAAACAAGTACTTCAGACTCTTGTGATCACTGAAGACGCTGAACCGAGCACCATACAAGTAATGCCTCCATATCTTCAAGGCAAACACCACAACTGCTAACTCTAGGTCATGAGTAGGATAATTCCTTTCATGATTCTTTAGTTGCCTTGAAGCATACGCCACCACTCTCCTGTTTTGCATCAACACACACCCCAGACCCTGGTGAGAAGCATCACAATACACATCAAAAGGCTCACCAGAATCCGGCAATACCAATACATGAGAAGTAGTCAATCTCCGCTTCAGCTCATCAAAGCTCCGCTCACAGGCATCTGTCCAGATGAACGGCTACTTCTTCCATGTCAGCTGGGGTAGAGGCGCTACTATGGTAGAGAATCCTTCAATGAACCTTTGATAGTAACCCGCTAAACCCACAAAGCTCCGAATATCAGTGACAGTCCTTGGACGTTCCCACTACAACACCGACTCCACCTTAGCCGAATCAACAGCAATCCCTTCAACTGAGATCACATGTCCCAAGAACTTCACCTCATCCAACCAGAACTCGCATTTTGAAAGCTTAGCATATAGCTGCTTCGCCTTCAAAATCTCCAGCACTGTCCTCAAGTGCTCACCGTGCTCTTCCCGGGTCCTTGAATAAATCAAGATGTCATCAATGAACAACACAACAAACTTATCCAAGAATGGCCAGAAGATCCTGTTCATGTAGTCCATGAACACTGCGGGGGCGTTGGTCACACCGAACGGCATCACAACATATTCATAGTGACCATATCTAGTCCTGAAAGCAGTCTTCGGTATGTCACCCTCCTTCACCCTAATCTGGTGATAACCTGACCTCAAGTCAATCTTAGAAAACACCGATGCTCCCCTCAGTTGATCCATTAAGTCGTCTATCCGGGGAAGTGGATATTTGTTCTTAATGGTCAACTTGTTCAGCTGCCGGTAATCAACACACAGTCGACTACCTTCATCCTTCTTCCTTACCAATAACATCGGAGCACCCCACGGCGAAACACTCGGTCGCACCAACTGCTTATCCAACAGGTCCTCCAACTGACCCTTCAGCTCAACCAACTCAGTAGGAGCCATCCTATAGGGAGCCACCGACACTGGTCCTGCACCTGGAACCAAGTCAATGCTAAACTCCATCTCCCTAACAGGAGGCAACCCAGGCACCTCATCTGGGAACACCTCAGCAAAATCTCGCACCACATCAATTTTAGCAATGACCCTCTCGGTCTCAACACTCAACGCAGCAAGCAGAAGACAGCACTCTGCTCCATCTCTCAACAATGATTTAGCTTGGCCAGCTGAAATCAACAACTCATCCTCCACCTGAGGAAAAATCAGCCTCCTATTGGCACAATCTATAAGGATGCGATTGGCAGACAACCAATCTATCCCTAAGATTATGTCAATATCTACCAAAGGCAAACAAATCAAGTTTACTTTATACTTCTTCTCATTCACCACAATCGGACAACCAACACATAACTCAGAAACAACTACCGAAGCAGAAGCGGGCGTCGACACAAGCAGTCTCAACCCCAAATCACACACAGGCACACCCAGCATAGCAGCACATGCATAAGATATAAAGGAATGTGAAGCACCAGCGTCAAAAAGAATCATCACATCCTTACCAGAAGCTTCGCCCTTCCCCTTCACAAGATCAGAAGAAGTCGAAGCCTCAGCACCTGTCAAAGCAAATACCCTACCAGTAGTAGTGGGTCTGTCACCCCTCTGAGTATCAGCTCTCTGCACACTACTCCTCTGAGTATCATCCCTCTGCACATCACTCCTCTGGGTACTCCTCTCTGGTCTGCTCCTAGTAGGACAGTTGGCCGACTCGTGACCCATCTGATGGCATCTGAAACAACGGCTCTCCGTCTGTGGACAGTCCCTGACAAAATAGGGCCCAACACACCTGTAACATCTCAGAATGGCACCTCCACCCTGTCTACCTCCACTAGCAGCACTAGAAGGTTGCCTAACGACAGGACCCCCTTGTTGTGGTTGGGGCCTATCATACGGCTTCCTCTGACTCCCACCCCTCTTGGACCCAGATGGTCCCTCAACAGTCCTCGCAACACGGTTACCACCTTCCAACCGCTCTACAACTTTCGCCTTCTCCACTAAAGCCAGAAACTCAGTGATGGCCATAGGCACCACCACCCTCTTCAGCTCATATCTCAAACCATCAGCAAACTTCATGCATTTCCAGGCCTCAGCTATACCTTACGAATAAAAACGAGCCAAGTGCTCGAATTTCATCGCATACTCAGAAACTGTCATCCCTCCCTGATGCAGTCGCATAAACTCAGTCTCCTTGGCATGCCTCACGCTCTCAGGGAAATACTTCTCCATGAACACTGTCCTAAAGCACTCCCAATCAACTGTAACTCCTCTAGCAGCAAGCATCTGATAAGTGCCCCTCCACCAATGATCAGCCTCTCCAACAAGCATATACACAGCATATGCCAACCTCTTCTCTGGAGAACATCCCAGAACAACAAAGATCTTCTCCAACTCACATATCCAGCGGTCAGCTGCCTCTGGATCTGCATCTCCCGTAAATTATGGGGGATGACATTTCTGGAACTCAGCAAGATCCCGGCTCTCCTGTGACCCTGTAGGCCTTACTGCACCAGCTGCAACTCTATCAGCCTCCATCCTAGCAAAATAAGCATTTTGCTGCTGCATAGCCATAGCCATCATCTCTGGTCCTAGTCATCATCTACAAAAGTAACAGCATCTTTAGTAAACAATAACTAAACCAAATAACAATCAACAACACAGCAAAAATATCACAGCAATCAGCACAGCAAACAACACAGCAAGACAACACAACGCAGAGCTAACACAACAAAAGCCTAAAGGGACCACCCCAAAAGAGTGTCCACTAGACTCGACCTGCTCTGATACCACTAAAGTGTAACAACCCGGCTGGTCACTACACACGCCACAGCACACTAGAAATACCACACAGACCGGAACAAGTGTATACAAATAGGGTCTAGAATATATACATATACATGATCCAAATCTGAATAGGGTTAAAGTGTACAAAGTACAGTCAAATGCTACTACCCTAAGTAGCTCAACCAACAAAACAATCAAAAAGAGATCAGCTCCGCCTGTCCGCTGAAGACTCACCACTAGCCACCAACCTATCCCTGCTCTGCTCCCATACATAGTATGACCATCGTAGTCCAAACATCATGGAGACAACAAAAGTGTAAGCTAGTGAAAAGAAATCAACATACATATAACAATATAACAATAAACAGCTACAACTTATACAATATCATAGCATTTAACAATATCAGCACCACAAAGCGGCATTATCAGCACTGCTTAGCAGCAATAACAGCACCACTCATGTGGTTATAACAGCACCGCATAGCAGCATTAACAGCACCGCCTTAGCGACTATAACAACACCACAATAGTGGCTAATAACAACATACAGCTCAGCTCAGCACAGCCAATCCACTTACAGCACGACACAACAATTCATCATACAGCACAACAATATATATATACATATAATACAACTAATCAGTATTTCTCAGCACTATCAGCTAGTCAGCACAACATATTCATCAAGTACAACTTAGTTTAGCATATAACAACATTAATTAACAACCTCAGCAAAATTCAACAGCTAACAGCATATGTATCAATATCTTCATAAGCGCCCGGCGCACTCGAGGTCGCACCCAGCGCGACTCTACCCTAGAGCACCAGGGGCCAGCGCGCCCAGCGCAAGAATACTCGTGCCCGACGTGGCCCCTCACGCGCTTGGCGCAATTTAGAATTGCGCCCAGCGCTTGCCAGGTAGAGACTCCATGGAGTCCCACGCGCCCAGCGTGCCTGAACCCGCGCCCAGCGCGGGGAAGGCAGAGACCTCCCCTTGGTCTCGCGCCCAGCGTAATTTGAATTGCGCCCAGCGCCCTACTGGTAGAGACTCCTAAGGAGTCTCGCGCCCAGCGCAACAAGGGTCACGCTCAGCGCAGAATCACTACCCAAAAACAAGTCACATACTGCCTGCGCGCTCGGCGCGATTCTGGACCTGCCCGGCGTGGGCCATCTAGAGGCTAACCTTCTCAAGCTCGCCTGACGCACACATCTTTGCGCCCGGCAGGCTTGTAAAAAAGGAGCCCCTAGATGGTCTCGCGCCCGGCGCGAAGAACCGCGCTCAGCGCGAGGCTCAACAGCAACACTCCATTTTCAAAAAACTTAACCAAATCCTGTAAAAACAGCCAGAAAACCAACATGCAAACATTCAAAAGTTCCCTCTTTCATCAAATATCAATAAAAACAGCTCATTTTCAACATGCAAACACAAATCATCAAAAACCCCAAAATTCCTTCAAAATTTCCGAAAACCGCAAAAATTCAATTCTCATCCATCTCAGCTAGAGATCATCCATCAACAAGCAGCATATGAGTGTCTAAGACTCATTCCAAATCAAAAACAGCAAAATAACTAGCTTCCCTTACCTCGGTAGAAGATTCTGAGCTCCGGGATGAAGAAAATGGAGAAGGAGACTAAGAAGAGTTTAATCGAACACCGAAGGAGAGGAAAGAACTCCGAACACCCAGCTAGCAAAACCTCAAGTCACTCCGCACCACCACCTTGTATCAGCCTAGAAGAAAAGTCCCAAGCAAAGAGTGAGCAAAGAGAAATGAGAGTTAGAGAGTAAGAGAGTTGGGGGGAAGAAAAGGAAATCCGTACGGGGGGTCTCACATTGATTCTTTAAATTTTTATTAAGTAATTTAAATATTTCAAATATCGTAGTTGTACTATTTTAGTTCCTTAAGTATCATACTTATACAATTTTTAATTTATTTAAGTTATATATATTATAATTTTCATTCATGTATTAAATGATATATATATATATATATATATATTGCTAAAATTACTAATATATGTAACTTAAATAGGTAAAAATTTTTATAATTGTAATACTTGAGAGACTAAAATCACACAATTGCAATACTTGATAGACTAAAATTTCTCAATTAAAAATTGAGAGATGAAAATTGCATAATTACGATTATTGAGAGACTAAAATTATTCAATTAAAATTTGAGGAATAATCTATTATACTTCAACAATAAAAAATGCATTTAATCCTATAATTTATTTACCATAAATATAAAATATAATTTATGTTAAAAATATTTTTTTTATTATAGATTTGAATTATAAAATAATTTATATACTTAAAACATTCATTTACTATAAATTTTAATTATCTAAAACAAAAATAATATTGCATGAGTCTATATAGATTGACACAAGTGTAAGTATAAATGTTTATACCAAATCTTAAATCTTCAATTATGGATGGCAATGGGACAATAGCAAGTTTCAATATATTTGTCTCTCCCCGAGTTTTTACTTAATATCCATTGTTATCTTTGATACTCAATGAATATGAAATTTGTATATACATGTACCTGTTCGGTAATTAATTAATTTTTTTTGCAAAAAAAATAATATAAAGAAAACAATAATTCCATCATAAAGAAACAATTACAAAATTATATAATATATCAAAAATATTAAAAAATTATATTAAGTTTTATCTAACATAAATTTAAAATAGTGTAAAAATTATATAAATCTCAAGTAAATTATAAAAAATTAAATTAAGTTTCTAAAATTTGAAACGGGAATGAGAACAAAGACGAGTACAAGACATGTAAGTATATACCCATCCCTGTATCCGATTTAATAAATAGGATATTACCCATATCCGGTCAAGCTGAGTATTTTCTTTTATCAAAGTTGAGAGGAGTTCAAATATTATCTACGAGTACGAGTTTATTTGTCAGCATTATCTTGAATTACTTTTGTATAATTAAAATTTAATCAATATAATTATTGAATTCGGTGGTATTATACTCAAAATTATGTATATCAAATTTCACATGATTTCAAAATTATTTAATAATTAATTACATTATTTTTATTTTAACGTATAATATGATATTTAAAATATCTGTAAATATCCATTTTTAGATAATACATATATAAAAATTCAAATAATGTGAAATTTGTTATATATGATCTTAAATATAACATCATACAATTCAATGATCAAATCGATTAAATTTATATTATATAAAAATTATTAAAAATATAAAATTTGATATAAATTTCTACACTTACACATGATTTCTTGTGATTTGGACTCCTTTTACATTCTTGAGATATTTATGCTTTTTTAGATATATATAAAAATTAAAATAACTATAAAAAGTGTTTTAGGAGTCATTCATCAACTAAAACATCTTTAAGAATTCTTTCGACAAAAAATGTTTTTAGAAATTATATTTAACTTTTTTTTAATCTATATCCATATACCAATTTTATCTATTTTTATATATCAAAATAAACTTATTAATTTATCACAAATAATTAAATAATTTATATTTAAAAACTAAAGTTTTGAAAATATTTTTATTCTTTGCATCCCACAATTTAAAACACCCGTTCTCATTTTATTCTAAAAAATGGAAAGAAGTAGACAGAGGCTAGGAAAACCTAAGATTGCTCCCAACATCTTACATCCTTAAACCCTCCAACATGTTCGGTTCCACGCGCATCGTTTCCGACGTCGCTCTCCGCCTCCGTCAAACCCTATCGGTAAATTTCCCTTTCATCACTCTGCCCTGTCCTTTTCTCTTCAGCATTCCATACTCTCATTTTTTTTCTCTCTCTCCGCCGTGCAGTTCCGCGGCGTGCGCGCGCAGAACATCAACATCGGAGGCGGCGTCGGCGGCGAGATCCCCGACCACAAGCGTCTCGAGTACGCTCTCCAGCACCTCCACGGCATAGGCCGCGCCAAGGCGCACCACATCGTGTGCGAGCTTGGCGTGGAGAACAAGTTCGTCAAGGACCTCAGCAAGAGAGAGCTCTATTCCATTCGCGAGTTGCTCTCCAAGTACCTAATTGGAAATGATTTGGTAACTTTTTTTTTTTTTCTTTCTTTTTTCTTTTCTCATCTTTGAGTTCTTGCTTATAAATTGTTGGCTTAAATCCACTTTTGGTACCTATAGTTTTGCGAATTTTGGTCCCTCAAATAGTTAAATGTTTTAATTGCAAATTTAGTTTTTAAAATTAAGTAATGTTGATCCACCTGTTAACATGTCATCCAAAATTAAACAGAAAGAAGCCTTGACATGGCTGGAAATGATACTATCTGCTAGTTAGTTAGCCATGGAGGAAAATAATAGTATTAAAAATTATTTACTAGAATAAATTTTAATTAAAATGAAAAATAAATATAATATATTTGTAGTAAAAATCAATGTTGTACTTTACATGGAAGTCAGCATGGTTAGATAAATGTTAGGTAGTGTGGTAGTGTCATTCACGGACATATTAACATTTTCTGTTTGATTTTGGGTGACATGTTAACGAGTGGACTAACATTGCTTAATTTTGAAAACTAAGAGGATCAAATTTGGAGTAAAAATAATTAGGGATCAAAAGGTTTTAAATTGTTTCGTTATGTGTGTGCTTTGTTGTTTCATTGCGTGTTTGTAATGTGTGTTTCAGAAAAAATGTGTTGATAGAGATGTGGGAAGGTTGGTGGGGATTCAATGCTACCGAGGGATCAGGCATGTGGATAACTTGCCCTGCCGTGGACAGAGGACACACACAAACGCACGCACCAGGAAGAGCCGGAAGACTTTCTCTGGATCGAGATAGGTACTTCTTGAGAAACAGATGGATGTGAGATGATGAAATAAGTTTTGTTTGTGATTTAGATTCTTTAACTGAAATTAATGTTGAGATTTCTTGTTTGATTGATTTTGGCATGTTTATCTTTGCTTGAAAAGAGTGCTGGTTTTTGCAAGATCTTTGTGGTCTTATTTTGCATTTGATGGTTTTTTTTTTTGTCTTGGTTGATTTGCTATGGTTGATGTGGTTTTTTAATTGAAAATATTTAGTTGTCTGTGTTGGTCAAGGTTTTAAATTGTGGTTGTAATTTTGTTGCAACCTTTGATATTGTAGAAAATTACAATGTAGCAGATGTGATGGCAATTGTGGCTGTACTTGCAGAGATCCCAATAGCCTTGACATTATAAAGCTTAGCGTTGGACTGTTTGCGTTACTTATGTGATTTCATTGTGAATTGTAATTGATTGCGTAATGGGTTGTGAATCAATTGGGAGTGGAATTTGTGTTAGTAGGTTAAGACATTCAACTTCTCATATTTTTGGTTGCTTATTAGTTGGAGTCTGCTTTACTTGAACATAGAATGGTAGGCCAGTGAGTTCCCAGTTTCTTTAGTGCAGTGCAATTTTCCATTTTTCCAGATATACTCTCTCCATTTGTTGGTAATCCAAAGCTCAACGTATGTGGGAATCATGTACAATGAATGTGATGGTTTTTCTTCCCTGATTGAGGGGAATTATGTGGAAGATGCTGAGACATGATTGCCAAATAATATTTTGTAGCATAAAGTTTGAGTTCTGATAGGGAGGAGAGTTAGGAGAGAGACACCGTGTTTGGGTTGTAGGGGAAGGGAAGGAAAATAAGCAATTTATTATGAAACCCTTACATTGAGAACCTTCAAGTATTCCTCTGCTCCAAATCTCTTGAATATCGATGGAAATGCAAAAATGGGAGAGGAAGTATCTTTGGTCTCTTTATTTCTCCTCTCTTTAATCAAAGCACATTTGAGTGATGTATGAGAGGCATTTGTTGAGGAAAGGATGGGAGAGGGGAAAGTAAGATTAAATATAACAGCTAGCTTTTGAGTATTAGATGATTTGGACTGATTAACAGAATCTTGATTATATTCATCTACAAGTATGTAACACTTGTATCTATGTCATTGGTCCAAATAATACAAATGTGAAACCCATAAAAACAAGAATTTTTTTTAATTGGGCAAAAACTTTTAATATAGCTACATTTCAAGACAGATCATATCATATATTTATTATATACCACTTTAATAATTTGTTTTTATTTTTTTGTTTTCAGATAAATTTTCCCGTCCAAATTATGGTTATTTTGGACATCCTGTTGGTGGTTGCGTGAGGTGTAACTGGTGCACTTCATGAACTGAACTTATATCTATGGGGACATGAATTGCTGGCAGTCACAGAGAAGGAAAGTTCGATATCTAAAATTTTATTTTACATCCATTATAAAAATTTGATTATGTACAATAAGAAAAAAAATTCAGGCAAACCAGGTCATGGAGGTGCAACTGGTGCAGTTCAATGCATTGTTAAAAGACACTTAACTTATATCTATGTGGCTGTACTCAAGAATAAAAGCTTAATCTCTACCTTTAATTTTACTTTCCAACCATTACAACATTGATAAAATATAGGTTTAGTTACCTTTTTGTCCCTATAGTTGTATAAACTTCAACATTTTAGTTCCTATTGTTAAAACTAGGTCATTTTAGTCTCTGCATAAACAAATTTTTTTTTCCCATTCCAGCTCCTACCGTTTATTTTTTACAAACATTGTTTGTGAGTGGGGGACGTGGATAGTAAATGTCGACCTAGCATAAGTTTTTTCAATGTAGGTGTATCTGATGTGGTTTTGTGAACCCTATAAGCAATCTTCTCCTTGAACTACAACATCCACTGTTTTTGATTCCCTTCTGCGATGGCCATCTTGTGACTTGTGTGATCTGTCCATATATGCATGCATGTCTATTGCATTGATACTTAACACTTGCACCAAAAAACTGTAACATTGATGATGCTTAACACACGCACCACAAATCACCACACCACCACCACACTGCACCACCAATCACCCCAGCAGCACCACACCTGCACCACTAATCACCACATCAGTGTGACACCTTACTAAGACAGTCCTCCAGAGGCCAATACACCAGCTACATATAATCATGAATTCTTCAGCTATCACTTGTGCTAAGCAATGCCTCTGATTGTTGTGTGCATAATAAAGCATCTATATTCCTCAAAAAAAGTTCTGCATACTCTAGCAAAAATGGAAGAAACATTGTTAATATTTTATAACACACGTCTTGGTCAAGTTATTAAACACATTATATATCATATGGTCCGAGGGAAATTGAGTATTTTTTGGTTCGGGAGTTCCTCTAGCAATTGGCATTCCACTACCAGTGTTGATATTGGCTTTTGTATAATCAACAAAGATAACACGTCCATTTAAGTCTGCAAAAAGTTTCTGTAAGACCTCACTTCTAACCCAACAAAGATTAGGAGAGTCTCAAGTATGATAATTACCTTTCCTTACATCTCTACTATGACATTCTCAACCTCATCTTGTGTGAAACAAAGGTGACAAAGCCAAATGGCTAAATCCCTTATATCTTTCTGACACCTTATATGTTACAAATTTGGCTGGAAAACAGAAATTCAGCAACTAGAGAGTCATTCCTCAGTTTTATGCATCCAATAAATTTGATAACTAGAAACGAACTTCATGCAATCTGTTTTGTTCACTGCAGAAACTGGCCCAGTTTCTTATTTTCTATTCCCCTATAATCACCCTTATTCACCGCACCTACACCACCAGAGTTAATGTGCCAACTCAACTGTACCACCCACAAACAAATGGTGTTAGTTTCAAATAAACGAGAGATACTAAAATGAAAAAAAAAATGTTTATATAAGGACTAGAACAGTCTATTTTTAAAAGTGAAAATTTGCAATTAAATCTAATATGTAAGTAGGAAAATATTGCACTCTGATCGTGACTGCTGATGATCTGCGTAGAACTTGACTGCAAGCAATTTAAGGTCCATCATATCTATGGGTTCGTAAAGTGAAGAAGGTTACCAACCGATAATTTACCTCAAGTGACGGCATCATATTAAAGTTCTTTTTCGTTTTATTTTCTTTTGGATAAACACAAGGCGTAAATAAACAGCCAACAACCTCCGTGATGGGTAGCACAACCTTCTTCAACTTCAAATATGTGTAAACCTAACATAGGGGGTTTGTTAAATGTACTAGGTTGGCGAGGTACCATAATGTTTTAGCAACACTTTTTTAATATATTTTTTATTAATTGAAATTTTGTGGATTTTACTAGTTTGGAAATTAGATTTATCAAAATGATAAGTAGGACCCAATACTTAATGGAGCCTACATAAATTTTATCTAACAAGAAAATGCATGTTAAAAAGAGAATGTTGTAAGTATCTTATTAGTTTTTTATCCTAAACTTAGATGGCAGGGGAAATGGATTCAACAAATTGATAATATATTTGTATGTATGCATTGACAAATATAATAAAATTAAATTTATTACTTGGTTTTCTTTTAAAAATAAATTATGTAACCTATCTATGTAAGCTTGAAAAGTAAAATGTGTTTTTAAATATTCACGTCACATTAATATTTCATAAAATATTGTGTTTTTTACTTTTCTATTTATGATAATACATTTTATATTTTTATCACGATAATCTAGGATCCATTTGACAGAAGTTAATATTTAATTGTATATAAAATTTTAATTTTTTTTGATACATCACATTCTTTTTAATTTGATATAGTGCTTGTTACTTTTTTTTTTATTCTAATGATTTATGATTCATTTAATGGAGATTAAATTTACCTTTTTATAATGTAATTTTTCTTTTATTCTTTATCTGACCTTTAGATACCCTTTACTTTTTTATTATGATAATCTAAAATCTATTTAATAGAAGTTGAAATTACCTTTTAACAATAAACCCTATTTTTTCCTTTTCTTTAGTTTATGATAATATCCTTCACTTTTTATTTTGCCGAATTGTCATCTGTTGATGACGTGTGAATGCCTTCGTGTTATTAACTTTTTATTCATTAATTTATGGTAGTACGACTTATTTTTATGAAGTGTTTATTTGAAACATGAAATTGAGATTGGTTTAGAATTATAATTTTTAATTTTGGACAGTGCAAGAAATTAGAGTATAGAATTATAATTATAATTTGATTTTTAATTCCATTTTGAGTACTTTTTTTTACACCTTTAGCTATTGAGACTAGTTATGTATAATATGTCGTATTTGATAATAAATAATTAATCCACGAGTTATCACAAACACAATGGAAGCAATATAGTTGTCATTGATTCATAGTGATGATAATGAAAATTATAAAATAGTAGAAGCAGTGGTGATGATAATTAACAAGTGATATCAATGACAATCAATTATGGTGATAATGATAACGATTAAATTGATGAACAACAATAATGATTTATAATGGTAGTAATGATAGTAAATATGGATGAAAATATTTGTATGAGCAATAGCGGTAATTATAATAACTAACATTAGTGAGATTAGAAGGTGGTTGTAATGACAATAGTATAGGATTGAAGGAAGAGGTTGTAACCAACATAATAACTATGATAGTAGTGTTGGGATACAAACAAGATCTTATATTATTAGAACAAGAGGAGAAACTAGGGTATATAAAGCAAAACTATGAGAGTGTAACATATCAAGATAATGGTTATGACAGAACATGAAGACACTCCTAATTGATAGAGATAATGGTTATGATGTGCAACATATCTAGAGGAAATATTTTTGCATAAGCTTATTTTAATATTCTAAAGTTAGAAAATATTTTGTTAAGTCAAAAAATAATTTTAGATTCTTCATTTTTTTTTAAGTTTTAATGATAGCAAACACTATGTCTTTCGAAAAGAAAACATTTTCGAAAAGTTGTTGTTTCATGCTATGTAAGACGAAGTAACATTACAAATCAGACAAAGTATATAATTTTCTATTATGTTCTTAATGTTTATTATTTATTGTGACTGACACGTTTGAATTTCCAAATAAATGCTTTATACCTTAATAGATTGAAAGTTGTTGTCTTGGAATTCACATTCTGTTAAAGGTGTATGAAGACATGTAGAGCATCAAAATAAAGGACAAATATCCCAAATCTCACAGAAAAGGTGTAGGAAAAGTATTGCATCCTCGTTGCACATTGACTTTACTTCCTGCTATTCTCACTTTGTTGTTCTGCTTTGATAAATAGCTTGATCTATTAAAGATAAGGAATACATTTTGGTGAAAGACATTAGTTGGAGCATTTAATGCACCAATGGATACTTACTCTCTCTAGATCAAACAAAAAGAATAAGATGAAGCATATCCGTAAATTAGACTCAAGAAACTATAACAGTCACTTTCGAAGCTACTATATAAGAAGCTCTATAACTCAAGGAATATAGAGAACATATATACAACTCAAGGGATATAGAGAACATATATACAACACAAGAGATAACCACGTATATAGAAAATCTTCTTCAAAAGATCTCTTGCACTTAAACTTTCGCTGTAATCATGTCGAAAGGAGATGATACCAACAATCTTGTAATACCTTTATAACCATTGTTATATGGTATAGACTAGAGAGATTTGTCTGAAAAAGAATACTTGGAGTTGAGTTTGGAAACACTTATTTGTAAAAAGAATACTTGGGTAGTGACTTGAAGAGGCTAGCCAAAGAATACTTGTGTTGAGCCACAAATGACTTGGTGAAAGAATACTTGCATCTTTGTTGAAAGCTAGTTGAAATCAATTTGATTTGATAGAGAACTTGATGTAGCCTCGGTGGTTGAGGTGAACCAGTATAAAAACTTCTCGTGTTCATTGATTACTCTTGTTAACACCTCATTTATCATAGATACTGTTAGAAAAGAATGGCTCAATCCAAGAGGGGGGTGAATTGGATTCTATGACACTTTAAAAATTTTTAAGAGTTCTTAGAATCTTTATTTCAATTCAAACTTTTCTAATATGAATTTCCAAAGAAGTTCCTTAAAGACTTGTTAATGAAGAATGAATCCTATATGCTTTCTTGATTAATCGTTGATAAACTTCAAGATTAAGGACAATCAATATGCAATACTTTGATTCAGTTTAAAACAATGTTATGCATACAAACATGTTAATCAAGAATACTCAAAGTAAAGGATAAGGGTAAGAGAAGATTGCACAAGTCTTTTATCCTGGTTCAGCCACTCCACATGTGACCTACATCCAGTCCTCAATCATAACCTGATCAAGATTTGTTCCACTATCTTAATGAAGAAGTTTTACAAGCATACCACACATGCATACACTTCTACATTCAAGATAACCACTTTCTTGACCCCAAGAAAGCACCCCTTGTAGAAACCCACTACAAGAATTCCTACCACTTGAGAAACCTACTCAAGATTTACAATTATTCACAAAGAATTAAAGGAACGAATTCACCTGGAATTCAGAAGCAAATCTTAATCTTTCTCTTTTCAAGAATGTGATGATGATGATGATCCTTTCTCAAAACATTTCACAAAAATGTTTTACTTCTTGGTTTCACAAAGAAAACACTCCAAGAAGGTCACAAAGACTTCACAATCATGTTTTTCTCTTTTTGATTCTCTATTCTATCTTGTTCTGAAGT